AGGACAGTCAGTGACAGCCCAGGGGCCCGTTTCACAGAGGCAGGAGAGGGCACGGGGGATATTTCCAGGGACCAGCACAGGGTCTCTGCCAGCCCCTTGGTGCTGCTCAGAACCGAGGTCTTACCCTGCCTGTTTGGTGCTGGGCATGGCGTGAGCCCCACGTCCCCACCTGCAGCCTCTGGGGCACTGCAGGGAGCTCAAAGCCCAGCTTCTGTGCGGAGCCAGCAGGCAAAGCGTTCCCCGGTCTGAATGCAGATTGCAAGAGAAAAGAAGTGCGAGGGTTGCTGAATGGGAAGAGGGGGAATAAACAAGGGAAATGAGTCATGCTCGTGTCTGTCACTCCCCAGCAGCTTCCCCGTGCCCCCGCCGCAGCGCTGCGAAGGGACGAGAGCTGCCTGCCTGCTGCACTGCCAGCCCTGCCGGGGCAGCTGAGCAGGGCTCTGCCCCGAGGGGCATCCCTAGAAAAGGGTGAGGGGGGCTCAGCCCCGACACCTCGGCAGGAGCAGAGGCCGGGTGGAGGTGCAGAAAGCAGCGGGATGAGCAGCTGGAGCAGCAGGGCAGGGACACTGGTCGGGTACCTGGGTCCAGGCCAGGCTCGGTGGAGGACAGCGATGGTGAGGGGGGAATCGTTTCACCTTTCTCTTCTTCCTCCCGTTGGCAGAAAGCTCCGTGATTTCGCCTAAACTGCAGTTCTGGTCGCAGCCTCCATCCCTGTGCACGCAGGGCTGCTGGATGACCTCGCTGCGCCGTGTCCTTAAAGCGCCGTGAGATGTGGATTGGAGGCCCTGTGAGCACCAGAGAATCAACCCCTGATTTTAATTAATTAATTAATTAATTAATTAATTTGCCATTTTGCTTTATTGAAGGCAGCGGGGTGTAAGCACGAGCCTAAGCAGCGCTGAGGCTGAGCTCCGTGCGTGCTCATCCCCGGGATGCTGCTGCAGGGAGGCATCTCCTGCACCACTGGCACCAAGCGCGGGGACATCGCTGGCTCCTGCAGCCCTTCTGGGAGGCAGCTGGGTGCTCGTGGCACCTCGTCGTGAGCTGCTCAGCTCATTTCCTTCATCAGCGTGAGCCCTTGTCACTTCAGCCACCCCCTTGTCCCCAGGCCATATAGAGCCCCAGTAGGGCAGGCACGCTCGGTGATGGGTGCTGAGCTGCAAACTGCCCAGCACCCATGGGGGATTTGCAAAAGGGCCGAGCTCCAGGCAGCCTGTACATACACTCGGGGCTGTTTCTGATCTTCTAGGGCATAGCAAGTCTGTTCTCAGTCATTGGGGGTTTTTTAATTAACTGCACAATGCTGATTTCTGCCATTCCTTCACCTCCCTGTGGCCACTTACCCCAGCGTGCCCTGCACCCAGCGCCCAGAACTCTCTGCTGCTTGTTCAGCCAAAAAATAACCTCCCCCAAAACGCTGCAGTGCCTGATTCACTGCTTCGTAACCGTGTCGTGCCATCTGTGACTTTCTGTCAGTTCTTGCACCTAATGGTACCGTGTTTGGGGAAGTAAATGAAGGAGAGGAGTTCACTTCCAGAGGAGTGAGGCTCGTCCAGCTGCCAGCAGCTCCATGGAGAGCGGGTGTGGGTGCTCTGAAACCTGCACCTTTATTAGTGTCAACCAGTCAAGGCTGCAAACAGTTCATTTTCCAGGTCAGGGAGCCTGCAGGAGATTTGGGAAGATCGTTTCAGAAGCAGTAGGATGAGGCGTGTAAGTAAAAACTGAACAGTTAAAGTTCAGAACTAAATTTGGGGAAATAAAACTAATTCTACTGGTGGAGCAAAAGGAACCGTTTCGTAGGAAGGGTGACATTTGTCTGAAGTTGGCTAATCTGGGAAGCAAAGCACCTTCAAAGCCAGCGTGGCTGGGAGCACGTGTGTGCTCCACGGGGCCGTGTGGCCTCTGGCACAGTGGGACCGGGGACAAAACAGGCGACAGGCTTCTGCTGCATCCAGGCACGGAGCTGCTGCCTGCCTCGTCCCTGCTTGAATATGGGCAGGGGACAAGTCCGTCTGCTGCTGCACCTGGGGGCTGCCGAGCTTGGGATGTGCTCGCTCTCTGCCTCTCTCATGTCACCAAAATTCCCCTTTTCTTCTCCCGTGTGCCCAGCTCCTCGTGGCTGGGCTGCGAGCTGGCCTGGCTCCTCCAGCGGTCCCATGTGCACAGAGTCCTGTGGGTCCGTGCTGCAGGAACAGATGAGGCCAAAGGGGTTTTTTTGGCTTTCTCCTGTTTTTCTCTCCCCCAGCACTGCACCCAGGCTGTTTTTCAGCTGGGGTTTTGGTAATGTGTTTGTATTAATGGCTCGGCTGGAGTCTGCCTGGCCCCTGGAGATGCTGCCTGGCTCCAGCCCGAGCAGGCGATGCCCACGGGCAGTGAGTGCTGCCCCTCGCCCCTGCCACGATCACAGGGGACATGTCAGGGACAGGGACATCCAGCTGCTTCATCTCCACGTCAAGGAGAGGGCTGGGAGCTGCCTTGGCTTTGCTAAGGCCAAACTTGGAGTTTGTCCTTGTGCCCTGCCTGCACAGGGTTTGCTGCTTCTGCTCTCCGCTCCTAATGGGCTCCTAACGTCTGGTGGTAGGAGCAAGGCAGATAATTGTTTTCCTTCTCTTATTAATAGATATAAAATGTCTGCCCAGGGGGCTCGCTCTCAGCTCATTTACTGTGCGTCTGATGCCAGATGTTGGCTGTTTACGATACCAAGGTGATCTCTGATGCTAAAATTGTCGCAGTCAGGCAAGGCTCGCTCTTTGGGTTTGTGCTTTAAGGAAGTTTGGGATGCTAATAGAGCTCGGGGTGACCGGATGGTTTTGCTGTGCTTCCCTTAATAGCCAGGGCAGAGGGGAAACTCTGGAGCTTTTGAGACAAACATGAAAGGAGCAATGGGCGAGAGCAAATCCTTCCTTTGGTGGCTTTGCTGTGTTTTCAATCCAATTCTACCCACGTGTGTGGGAAGAGCATGGTGTGAAAAGCTTATCACTACAGCTCCCTGCTCCTCTCTCATCTCAGCCCTCTTCGCTGCCCGACAGCCCCGGCCATCTCCAGCAAGGCCAGGCCACTAAATCAGCACCAGGCTCCTTCCAGGGTCCCTCCTGAGGCTCTTTTTCCTCCAACCTTTGGTTCTCCCAGCCTGGACAACGTGCACGGCCCTATTTTAGGGACAGGGGAAGGGTGGACCACGGGTGAAGCTGCTGGTCTGCAAACAGCCAGGGCCGTGGTTGGCTTTGGGTGGCCAGCGGGCACCTCGGGGAGCGCAGAGCCCCCCCTTACAGCTGCACTGCCCACGGGTGCTGCTGATAACCCCCCCCCCCCTGCCTGGAGGAGGATTTTTTTTGCGCTGAGCTGAAACAGCAGCAGGGAAAAAGTCAGCGGAGCCCGAGTCCAAGCAGGTATGTAGGTCAAGGAACTGCAAGGGGACAGGAGCTGGGCTGGGGGGGCTGAGCGATGGCAGCGTTGGTGCCTGCTGGGCGTTGGTTGTGCCCCCCAGCAGGGCGATGGGAGCCCCCCACGCCTGGGGCCAGGGCAGGGGGTGCTGCTGAGGCTGCTTCCCCCGGGCTGTGCAGCCTGCAGGGAACAGAAAGTGCAGGGGGAAGCGACAGAAAAAGCACCCGGTGGAGCAATCTTGGTTTTGGTTCTGTTTTTTTCTTTTAACGGCAAATTAACCCCCAGTTTTAATGCCGCCGTGCCTTCAGATCATGAAACAGGAGCACATGAGGCTTCCTGCTTTCTGGGCACCGTTTGATGAAAATCTAACCTAGCAGCACCGAAAGTCCATTTGATTCATCCTCTGAATGAAAGGGGCACAAAAGCAGCCCTTCGGTTTGCTATCCGTGCTCTCACCACCCCCGTGCACACACACACCTGCCTCCCTCGAGCTGCCCTGACACCACCTCTGACCAGAAAAAAATATTTTGGAAGTGCAAAATAAGGACGGGCAATGGCCAGTTTGTGTATTTGAAGTGTTTGTGCCCTGAGCTTCGGGCAGATTTGGTGAGGGAAGGTCTGTAGGGGGTGCACCCAGTGTCTGGGACCCTACGGGGTGCTCCGAGGGGAGCGGGTGCTGCCCCCCTGCCTTCCCCCAGGCGGAGCAGGAGGTGCCCGCGGCGGTGTGAGTCTCCTTGGCATCGCCGTCAGGAGCTGAAATCAGCACTCTGCCTAATGAGGAGGGCCGGGGAAAAGCAGAGGAGGGGATTTAGGAGAAACGAAAAATCAATGCGAGGAAATAAATTGACAGGGCTGTTGGCCGGGAGAAGGGGGGTGGGATGAAGAGGAGGAGGATAAAGTGCTGATGGGTTTCGCTCCGGAGCAGTTAAGGACAAAAGGCGATGTGGTGCTGAGTCCTGGAGCTGTGGGGACCTCGTCCCTGCTGCCTGTGCTTGCTGGGCTGGGGGTTTGTTCCCCCGCCTGCCCTTCTGGCATGCAAAAGGGCAGGCAGGGGGGATCCCTCCTGGCTCCACATCCGCACCCCCAGGTGCTGTTTCTAGCTCAGGAGCTCTTTTTCTTAATTGCATGCCTTTTCCCTTGGCTCTCCATCTCCCGATGCTCTTTTCTTAGTGAAATCCAGCAGCTCGGTGCCACCCGGCTCTGGGCAGGGGGAGGCGTGCTGCTTGCGGGTGACTTTGTGGTGGCGTGGGGTGACCGCACGGTGGGCACGGATGCGTCCTGGTGGCACGGGACAGGGACATGCAGCCTGGTGCTTCAGGAGGAGGGCTGACAGTTTCCATTTTAGCTTCGCCGATCTTTTTTTCTTCCCCAGGCAGGTCGCTGGCCTCTGTGGTCAGGGTTCCTGCTCTGTGTGGTGGTGATAACGGCGCTCGCCTGCTCACGGGTGAGCCAGGGTGGGGGCAGCAAACACCCGGGTGCTGATTTGAGGGTGCCGGGGGCTGCCTGCAGCACGCACCAGGCCAGAACTACCACAACCCTCACCCGCTCTGCCGTGAAAACCACCCCTGCCTTTTTCTCCTGCCTCTGACCTCTCCTCCTCGCCTCTCGTTTCGCAGCCCTCCTGCTGGACATCGTGATCGTGGCGGGCCTGCAGAAGCTGGCCAAGCGCAAGGGCCCGTACGACGTGAGCCCCGGCGTGTTGGACTACCTGACCATGGACACCTACGCGTTCCCGGCCGGGCACGCCAGCCGGGCAGCCATGCTCTCCAAATTCTTCCTCAACCACCTGGTGCTGGCCATCCCCCTCCGCATCCTGCTGGTCATTTGGGCCCTCTGCGTGGGCTTCTCCCGCGTCATGATCGGACGGCACCACATCACCGACGTCCTCTCCGGCTTTGTTTTCGGCTACTTGCAGTTCCGGCTGGTGGAGTTGATATGGATGTCTTCCAACACGTGCCAGATGTTGATATCCATCTGGTGAACGTGGAGGGCTTGGTGCCTTTGCACTGGGAACTAGCAGATACGTTCAGAGTCTCCCTCCCAGTATTTTCTACGTGTTGTTTGTCGGAAACACTTGTCCCTTCCATGAGTAGTGGCGTTTTTTAATGTTGCTTCCCCCCCTGGAAAAAAAATATATTCTAGCAATGGGTCTGGTTGTAGCACCCAAGGGCCGGACCTGTGATTTCGGCCGTATTCTCAAACTATATTTGGACAGCAACCAAATTAAGCTTTACAGGTGAGAGAAGCGAGCTAAGTGTCTGCCTTGGGGTGGCTCACAGCAGCACCACGGCACGTCCTCAGCATGGGCAGCGCCTGAGAGCCTCCTGAGGACACGTTCGGTAACGTTTTTGAGGCTAAATGATTTGGGCCGCAGTGCTGCGACTGTGTCCTGTGCAGTCAGGGCACCGCTGGCGTTTCGCAGTTAATAAATAATCCTAAAAATCCTGCCCGGCTTGGTTCTTGTGGTGAGGGAAGGGACGGAGGCCAGCTGTGTGACACAGACACGGTGCTGTTGCTTTCCCTTGTTGCTGTTGTTTTCCCCTTGTTGTTGTTTCTCCCCAGCTGTCCAGGTAACGGCCACGCTCAGCATGTTGTGGCCGAAATGGCTCACCTCTCACGACTGGCTCAGAAAATCCATGTTGTGCACAGAACCATCCCGTTCTCTGTGGTTTTCCTCTCTTTAGAGGAGAGTTTGGTGTTTGCTAGGTGGCAGGAGACACTACCAGACCCTGCACCTTCCCTGGCTCGATGCTTCAGCAGATGTGCCTGTCCTCCTGTCCATCCCAGCTGAGCAAAACGCACCTGGTTTGCAATGCCAGGCAGCAACGAGATGGGTCCCATGCTCCCACCCCTCCCCAGGGCTGGGGAGCCCTCTTCTTGCAGGGGAGGCCGGCGAGAAGGAGGCGACGTGCAGATAACGCCGGTAGCAGGCTGCTAACATTTGCTGCTCTTTGATAATTAACATGAAAAGGAGACGAACAGAAAATCCATCCCTGGCAGGCGTCTCCAGCTGGGAGCCCTGGGAGCCGGTGACTTTCTGTGCCGAGCGGGAGCGTGGGCACCGCGGAGGCCACCGCGTCCTTTCGGCGAGCGTCCCGCAGAGCCCCCCTGCTGCGAGGGTCCCTGGGGAGGCTGTGCCGTGGTGTCCTTGGGGACAGGGAGCTCTCAGTGCCACCGTTCCCCCAGGGCTGTCGGGTTGCTGCAGCAGCTGGCCTCGCAGCAGGGGGGGACTTGGTGCTGGCTCCCCCCCGTGCTTGTTGGACGGGGGCGATGCTGCGGCGGGGAGCAGAGATTTGCAGGGTTTGCATTCACCAACCTTCTCCTCCTCCTGCGGAGACCCACATGGAGAAGTGATCCGTGGTTCTTGCTCTTTCTTCCAGGCATTATTACGCCTGGCAGAATTTCTCCTCACCCCAGGAAGGACAGGGCTGTGTTACTGCAGCTCTGACGGCACGAACGTAGCTGGAGGCGGTGGGTACCCGAAGGAGCAGGGGAAGGCTTTGCCTTGATTGCTCTGCAGGAAGCTCTCCCTTTGGAGGTATTTTACCCCAACCTCTAGGTTTTATTCAGTCTTTTTAGATTCATCTACAGCCGTGTTGCTGGGTCTCCTCACACCTGTGTTGTCTTTTCCTGGTATGTGCTTGATGGTTTTGGAGGAGCTCCACCTGGCCATGGCGCTGACATCGGCTGCGCTGCTGCAGCCCTGCGGAGGGAGGGCAGGGGCAGGAAGGGTCCGGCTCTGCCTGGGAATGTGCACGTTTTTGTGGAGCCCCAGCCTGCTTCCAGCAGCCCTGGACGTTTGGGGGGGCCGCCAGCACCACCTGAAGTTGCCGAGTCTCCCCTTCGCTCTTAGCACCAAGAGGTTTTAAAAAAATCCCACCTCGGTGAGGCAGATACCAGATGGTGAGGGCACAGCACTCGTTTGGGTGGAAAACCTGCAGAATTAGCCCAGGGCAGCTCCTTGCTGTGGTTCCTTTGCCGCTGCTCTCCTTCCACCAGGCTGCTGTGGCCATCAGGCTGCGCTGGGGCTCGCAGGACGGGGCTGGCTCCCATGTGGGGTGCTCCTGGCAGCCTCCCCCAGCACCAGCACCCCCGGAGCCCCTCAGCACCACCATCCCCGGAGCCCCCAGCCCCTGGTGCGTGGATGCTGGGAGAGCTGTGGCCCCGATGCTGGCGTCCTCGCTGCGGGGAGGTTGTGGCAGAGCCCCCGAGGCGAGTGGCACAGCACCCACGGCGTGCCTGATGCGGAGCCTGCCTGGAGCGCTCCTCCCTGCTGTGCCGAGGGTGCCAGCATCGCTGCAGCCAAATCCAGCTTCTGTCTCTATGGCAACAGCCAGGGATGGGGGAGCCCTCCCGTGTCCTTAAGTGTCCCCGCATGTGCTGGGTTACCCGTTAGCTCCCGGGGCAGGCAGGAGGCCCCTGGTCCTGGGGATGCAGCCGTGTGGGCTGGGGGATGTGGGGGGAGCGGTGTCAGGGTGACCTGGCTCCTCTGCGGGTAAGGTGCAATCTGGGGGGGGCTGTTCTCAGCTTCCAGGCTGGGTAACACAGCCAGCCGTCCTGCTGCAGGCTGTGCGGGGAGCTGGAAGGGATTCAGCACCCCCCCCCCTGCACCCACCGGGATGGATGCTGAGTGTTTTGGCTCAGCGGCAAGGAGGGCGCAGCAGCAGGGGAAGGAAAATGTCCCCGGGCTTTGGGCTTTCGATCCGTGCAGATGCTGCCTGCCTTCCGGGTCCTGTGTGCAGCGAGGAGAGCGGGGCTGTCCCTACAGCTGGGATCCAGCCCCACGGGGCTTCTCCCTCCCCAGAGGTGGATGGGGATGGGATGGGATGGGATGGGATGGGATGGGATGGGATGGGATAGGATGGGGATGGGGATCAGCACCATCAGCCGTGGGCTCCTGCCCATGGGCCAAAGTGCTGGGGCATCGTCTGGCTGCGCTCTCTGCTCGCTTCAGATTTAGCAGGGGCTGTCAGAAACACCGTGGGTCTTGCAGGTTTGTTACACAGAACTCAGCAGCTGGGGACAATAATTTGGGGCCTCATCCTCCACTCCCCTGCAGCCCGTGCTGATGCTCACGCAGAGGTTGAGCCCTGGCTGCCCTGGGGGAGCTGGAGCAGGGTGCTGGGAGGCAAAAATTCAAATGGGCTGAGCTCCTTCAGGACTGCCCAGGGTTGTGGGTGCTCTCCCTGCACCCCCAGACCCCCAAATTCATCCACGCGAGGCTCGGGGAGGAGCCTCCTTCCTGGGGGACTGCAGCCAGGCGGCTCCGAGCACCTTCTGACTTTTGGTTCAGCTAACAGATGAGTTAGGAAGAAGCCCCAGAGGAGGAAAGCTCAGTGCACGGGCTCGGGGGGCTGCTGCCATCCGTGCCGCATGCGTCCGTGCAGGCAGGAGAGATGCAGGCAGCGGTGGCGGTGATTTCATTTCTGATTCTGCTGCGTGCAGCCAGGGCTGCTCCTCCCCGCGCCCCAACGCTGATTGTGCTCGGCAGCAAAAAGGGATTTTAATTTATTAAAAAAAAAAACAAAAAACAAAAAACCAACAAAAACAAAAACCTACAGAGGGTGCCAGGGAAAGTAGCAAAGCTGGATTATGTCCGTGGGCATATGTGGGAATCACGGCTGGGGTGTTGAGCTCCCTCTCCCCAGCCTAAGCCGGTGTTTTAGTTGAACCTCGCTGATTTGGGCTTTGGTGGCCTCGGTAATGCCAAACGTGGTGGGACAAATCCTCACCGCATCAGGGCTGCGCTGCCCTCCCTGCCCAGGGCTGCTGGGGTCCTCTCTGTGGTCCCTTGGGGAAGGGGTGACCAAGCCCCGTGTCCCCCCCAGGACGAGGCCGGTGGTGGGGAGCTGGCTTGGGGGCTTTGAGGGCTCGGGGGGGCTGGGAGGGCTCTAATACAAGATCTCCCTGCAGTAGCAGGGTGGTGGCTCTAGCTCACCCTGTGCTGGGTGTTCTTGGGCAAATGAACCCCTCTTCCTCACTCTGGGGTGTTTCTGATGGGGACAAGGGACCCATGGGTTTAACCCACTCTGGGCTTCAGACACTTCTCCCCGGTCAGGAAGATCATCTGCGTGATTTTCAGCTCAGTTTCGGTACTGAAGCGATGACTGACCTTGCCGTTTCCAGGCTAAAAATGTAATATATCGGGCAAAGCTTAAAGAAACAGGATGGTGCCTCCCTTTTGTACAGGTGTGTGCCGCAGAGCCAGAGAGCCCCAAACAGCGACGGGGCCAGCTCCGGGCTGCAGAGGGGTGCAGATGACCGAGGTGTTCTCCTCCAGCATCCATCCCAGAGACCCTGGCTGACACCTCCCTGCCTGCTTAACACTTCCAAACCCAGCTAAGGCTGTGCAGGCACAGGGGGGGCTCTTTGCTCCCCACCTCGCTGGGACTCGAAGCAGCGAAGATCTCCGTGGCCATTCCCTGGGATGCAAGAGTCAAAGCGGATTACGGGTCCCTCAGCTGATCACATTTATTTCATTATGTGAGCGAAATCCCCCGTAAATACCACCCTCCCCCCCCCTTCCCTTTTCTTTTTATAAAAATAGAAGGCGGGGAAGAATTGCAGATTTAGGAGAAGTTAATCGCAGGGGTTGCATAAAACCGTTAACCTCGTGCAGCCCGAGCAGCCCCGGCTGCCATGGGGAGGTGCTGAGGGATCGGGGGGCAGCACTTCCCCAGCCCCCCGAGGAGGGTTTTCCCTGGCAAACCCAAGCAGGGGAAGCCTCTCCAGCTAGGAGGAATCTCATTCAAGGCTTGGCCGTGATGAAGGGGTAATTAAAGCCTTGGAGCAAATTGGCTCAGTGGGTCTGGTGAGCGGGGTCGTACCGCAGCACCAGGCAGCCCTGCGGCAAACCCTGCTGGCCCCACAGCACAGCTCGGGGCTCTTGGGAACGCTGATGCTCTTCCCTTTGTGGTGTGGTCACTCCGAGCCTCTCAGAGGATGAGGATGGAGCTGGGGACCTGGGCATTGCCCTGGAATCTCACCCGATTTAATTATTTCTAACCAAATTCCTACCAGGCATAGCTGGCTTCCTCTCCCCAGAACATGCCCTGTCCTTGCCGAGTCCCCTTCCCCTGACACCCCCTCGCTCATGGGACCCTGTCTGACTTTTTCCTTTCCCTGAGGACCAGCAGGCTTGTGTGAGACCATCAGCGCTGGAAAGCCAGACCGGCAGAGATTAATTAAAGTAAGAGCAACGGGATGATGGATGCTAGCGAAACACTTGCCCAGAGACCAAAGTGCTGCGCAGCGCTCACACGCATGGTGACAACGAATCCACCCCTGAAATCACGGTGCAGGTGCCCTGTCCCCACTGGGATTTGCACCTCGGAGCTGCCACCCCATCAGTGAGGTAGAGGAGCACGTGGAGGGATGTGGGGAGGATGTCTGGAGGGAGGCAGGAGGGAGACGATGGATCCGGAGGGGCAAAGAGGCCGAGCAGACCCACGGCGCTTCCTGGCAGGATTTGCTCCCGTCATTGCCCCGCAGCCCCCAGCCTGGGACATTTCCTGAGCCACGGAGCTGCTTTCTGGGGTCTTTTGTCCCTGGCTGATCACAAGAAGGGGCTCTGCAAATTTGACTGGAAATGGCAGCCTTTTGGTTTTGCTTTTTGTAAATTCTACACAATTTTTCCTGCACCTGCAAACGAGCAAACATACCCCAGACCAGACACTAAAGCAAAACGCTGCCATCCGAAGGAAAAGCAAGTTTCCTACCAGGCTGTAAACGAACCCCCCAGCACAGGTCGGTTCTCCTGCCCCATCCCCAAAACGCAAGGCGATATTTAGGTTAAGGAAGTCCGGGGATTGTCCCAAACTCCTTCCCGCTCTCCCTGCTCGCTGAGATGGGAGAGGTGTGCCCAGGGCACGGAGGGACCCTACAGCATCCCCCTGCTCTGCAGGCAAGCAGCAGGCTCGGGGGCACCTGCCTCGCTCATCGCCTCCCCCTGGGAGAGCACAACCTCCTCGGGAGCCCTCGGCCGGGCAGGAGGATGCCCCTGCCCCGGGAGGAAGGCTGAGCTGGGTTCAATCCATCATCAATCAAGTCCCGCCGGGAAGGACTTGTAGGCTTTGCGGGGTTCCTGGTGGCGTTCCTTTTCTCAAAGCCTCCTGCAATAACAGCAGCCGTTGCTCGGCTTCCTTTCTAGATAACCTTTTTCCTGCTGCCCAACGTGTTTATCTGCTGCAGACAGACTGGCAAGATGAACAGGAAGGCTGATACCTTATCTCTGCCTCTCAAGGAGCTTATTTAAGTGCTGGAATGTGTCGCGATGGTAAACGATTGTTAAGAGCCTAATGAGGTACATGAACCTAAGGACAGGTCCTGCTGGGAGGGAGCACCTCGTCGGAAAGGAGACCCACGGGGCTACAGGACCCCAGGCCTTTTTTTGTCTTGTATCTCTCCACGGATGCATCTCCTACAGTGTGAAATGCTTAAAGCCCAAAGCCGGAGCTCCTCGCCAGGCCGTGGTTAGTGCTGCAGGCTGCTCCAGGCTACGTGAGGTTCACTGTGTCCCTCTGATAGGGTTTTATCAGTGTCTGTGCTCGGTACTCGGCCTGGCCTCGCAGCGAGGGCTCACACGTGGTATCTGCACGGCCCCGCACGTATTCCTGCTCGCCCTTTCATCTGGGCTCAGTGCAGGCAGCAGCGAGATGCTAACACATCCATAAAGGTAAATAGGATTTGAGAGCGATCGGGCTAATTGAAATGAATGGGGCTTGGCTGCTCAGCCAGCCCGATACCACGAAACGAGACCTCTCCGGGGACGCAGCAGGCCAGCAGAGCGTCAGCACTTCGCTTATTTCAGCCACTGCAAGTGGCAGCAACAGCGAGAGCAATTGCAGGCGCCGGGGTGTGAGAGCTGTGACAGCAGAGGGGCCAGGGAAAAGCAGCGTGGCCTGCGTGATGTCCCCAGCAGCTGCTGCAGAGGGGTGCGACAGGCTTATTTTTGGCCTGTCCCGGGGGAAAAAATAGACGGCGGTGCCGGGTGCCAGGGCACAGAGAGGGAGCGATGGGGTCCCTCGGTGTGCGAGGTGCACGCTGCTACCACGGTTGCTGCACCCAAAGTTAATCTGTTCCACCCCACTGACTACTTTTCCATAGCCACACATAAGGAATCGCCATCCCTGAGCAGACCTCGGCCTGTCCATGTTGCTTCAACAGAAGTGCAGGTGACCCTGTGGCAGCCAGGATGGGACAAGATGCTTTCTGGGACGTCTGAGCAGCGAGAGCTGCCCCATAACCTGCAGCTTTTTATCCCTTGGAAAACTCCTGCAATTAGGCACTGCGAAGTACACGTCTGCAAGATCCTCCGAATTCTCCTGGCATCTCACAAGGTCCTTGGCTCCATCCCTTTGGGTGGCACCGGGATACCAGCCCCTGGCACAGCCTGATTTGGGGCTGCAGCAATGATCCTGCAGGGAGGCAGGACTGCCAGTGAAGCCCACGTGCTCATTTATTTCCCGACGATGCGATCTGATTATGCTGACGGGGAACTGGGCTCCTAGAGCTGCTATATCCTGGCGTAGCTCCTGGGGCTCAGCAAGGAGCCAGTGACCGACCGTGTCCCAGCAGCTGAATGTCCCAGCAGCTGAATGTCCCTCTCTTGCGGTGACTTGGACCGTCAGGACGGGGCTGGGCAGCCCTGCAGGCAGCGTGATGCTCGAGGGCACCCAGCTCCGCCTGCAGCCCCCACCCAGCTTCACAGTTGTCCCCGTCAATGTAAAAAAAAAAAAAAAAATCAGGAATGGGGAGGGGAGGGGGGATCCATCTGAGCCGCTTGGCGTCTGTGTCTTGTGATCCTGAAACCCAAGAGCCCCCCCTGACTCAGCAGGTTATTAATAACCCCCTGGCTGTGCTCCTGCCGCAGCGCCTGCCAGCCCTGGCATCACCTGTCTCCTCCGCAGCCAGGCGAGACGCGCACCCCGGGCAAGGTCAGGGGCTCCTTCCCGCTGGCCCCCACGTCCCATCCCCACCCACAGGGCAAGGCAGAGGTGGTGTGAGGCTCCCAGCCAGCCCCCGAGGCCCCCGTGCCTCTTGGCAGCACAGGAGAGGCTCCCGGTGCTGCTGAAATTAGCCTCGTCGCACCCCTGTCCCTGGTCCCCTGTTCCCTTGTACCTAAAATCAGCCCAGGCCCAGTTGCAGAGGAGCTGAGCTGGGTTTTCTGGACCACAGCATCAGGACCGCCACCTGCCTGCCCCCTCCCTGGACTGGGAGATGTGGGGTGGCCCCACTGCTGCAGCCCCCAGTGGTGCCCAGTCCCTGTGCCCATACGGAGGGGCTGGGGTCTGTTCCTTGGTCGCAGCCTTTTTTTTTTTGCCCACGCTTCTTGCCAGGGCTGCGAAGGCAAAGGAGAGGAGCTGCAGGGGACCCTACAGGTAGGTGTGGGATGTAGGGGAAGGAACGGCACATTCAGCAAAACCATGGTGATGACACAGTGCGGGTTTGGGCTGTTCCACCTGGAGCACACCGGACCTTCCTGGCCCCCTCATGCACCAGGGGTCCCCAAACACGGGGTCGATTCCAGCCCTGGGGTGCACGGAGCAGAGATGCTCGAGCCTCCTCGTGCCCCGGTGGGCAGCAGTGCCCCCCCCCCACATCCCCCATACACCGTGCAAACTGACCCCAGGGGCCTCAGCAGAGCTGCGGGGTGATTTGGGGTGAGGGTGAGCCAGGTGTTGTTTACCGCAGCTGGTGCTCATTAGCCAGGTTCATTAGCACTCCCTGGGCAGGTTTTAAATTGGCAAGTGGGAGCCACCTTCAGGCCTGGGGCAGCCTCGGGTGCAGCTGGAGCCCTGGTTCCTTTCCCTGCTCGCTTCCTTCCCTCCTGCTCTGGTTCTCCCTTCTCTACTCACAGGCCCCATGTGCTACAGCTGCTGGGAACCTGCTCTGCAAAGCCCTGACGGAGAGGCTGAGGTGTTGCTCTTGCCCCTATAAATCCCCTGGCACTTGGAAGAGCATCCCCAACCCTTCCAACCTCCCCCTGCAGAGGCTGTGTCCTTCCCAGCCCAGTGGCTCGTGGCAGAGCTGGGCTCTTTGCTGGGCCCTGGAGGAGCTCCCCGAGCCCTTCTTGGAGGAATGGCTCCGTCCATGGCTTATTTTCCTCCTGGCTTTGTCCCTCTCCTCCATCCCTGGTCCTCCTCCTTTGGTCTCCTGTGAGCCCAGCAGGCAGACTTGCCCCTGCCCTTGATGGGGACCAGAGCTAGGGAAGGAGGCAGCATGAATTTCCCCTGAATCAGCACCTCAGCTCCACTTTGTGTCCTGAGCAAGGGTATTTGGGCTCTCCATCACCATTGTGGCCATTTCCATCCTGCTCTGCCCCTTGGCAGGACCAGATGGCCAAAAACAAGGGACTGCTCTGCAACACAGATTTAATTCAGCAGTGCGACCCCTTCCCTTCCCTCCCTGCTGCTCTTCCACCCCCTCCACCTCCCTCATTTCCCTCCCAGGACTGTTTCCATCCTTTCCCATCCCCTCCACCTTTCTCCCCCCAATTTCCCCCCTCTCTCCCTGTACACCCACCCCACATCCCAACCCAGCAGCGGGCGAAGGATTTCGGTCTCCAGCAGCAGGACCACCGCTCATCTCCTTGATCTCCTCTCCGGGGACAGTCGGTAGGTGCGGGACCCCCGGGGGGGCACCGAGCTGTCCCCTACATCCCACCCGACCCCATCCCATCCCACCCCAGCCCGGTGCTCCCCGGGGAGATGCCGGGGCCGGATTGCGGCCGGCGGCGGCTCCCAGGCTGGGTTTGTCGCTCCCTCTAGCGGGGACGAGGCAGGACTGGCGCTGGGCTGCCAGGGGGGGTCCTGGGGGGAGAAATCCCGGCCGGTGTGGTCGAGCTGATCCCAAAGGACTTCCCTATCAGGGCACAGGGAGATCCCGGCTTTTTGGGGCTGAAGCTTCTCGGGTCGGGAGTGCGTCTTTCTAAGCAGGTACTCGGCTCCCGCTGGAATATTTAGGAAGCGCGGTAATAATTAAAGAGACTGAGCTCATAAGGGACTCGGTGAGACCTGATGAGGCAGAAGGGACAAAAGTAGTCAGGAGAAAAAGGGCTCGCTAAAGCGTTTTTTTATAAATCCTTTGTGGAAAAAAAGGGGGATGCTGCAGCTCTGGAGAGGCTCCAGACGGTGACCTTTGCCTGGGGGCTCTGGAAGCGAATCCCACAGCCCCTGCTAACCACAAATTGTCAGCTCCGTCTGCATGTGTGCAGGATTCACACGCTGGCCGGGCTGTGATCATCCCGTTGCAGATCAGAGGCAGGCTTGTCAGGGACAGCGAGAGTCTGCTCGCTTGCAGCAGGGGTTGCAGTTCTCCCCAAATCACTCGTTCTCATCAGCTTCATCACGTTCAGAGGCAGCTGATCGTTCCCTTCGGCGGGGCGAAGCGAGATATTTTTGAACTGCGAAACAACAGCTGTCTCGCAGCACATGGAGCGGGGGAATCAGATGGTTGGGATTGAAGGCTGGAACCGTGAACCCAAACACGTCCCCAAGCCTGCATTCCTGCCACATCTGTGGTCATTGTGAGGGCTTCGAGGCAGGCAGCAAAACTGTGTTGGTTTAAATCTCGACTGAATATCAGGCACTGCAAAAATCAATTACTTTAAGGTGCCTCAAAATACCCTTAATAAATTTGGGGTGACTATGGGTTTGCCTGTCTGTGTGTTCATTTTCTGGGAGGTCTGCACCTCTTTGTCAGTGCAGGCCTTGTGGCCAACTCCAGCCTGAAATATTTGGCTGAGTTTGTCCCCAAAGAAGACTGTGGTTTTTATGAGTGGACAGACCGAAGTGAAATAGCATTTTCAAGAGAAAGTGGCTTTTGTTGCTAAAACATCCCCATCAGTTCTCCAGAGGTTTGGCTCTAGCTTTGTTTGGGACGATTGCTGATCTCCAAGTCAGAGCCAAATAAAGCTGATAAAATTGCCTAATGCAGCGACCTGCTTATGAATGGCTGTAAAAGTCAGACAGGTTGAGCTAAGGCAGTCATGTGTTGCCTTTCTCGGAAATATTTCTTGTGCTTTGAGATGTGCTTTCTAGGATCCTATGTCAAATAACTGAATTCCCATATTTGTCTTGATTTCCTCCTCCAAACTCTTTGAAAAAAAGAGATTTTGACAGAGGCTAACCAAAGGTGCTAAGTTCAAAAGCAGACACTCCTAACTGGTTTTCAGCATGCTCTGGTGGCAAGTGCTGTATTGAACAAAAAGGTCCTTGCCTGATGAAACTTCTTTAGTATTTGCAGCTACATCTCCCTGGTTTCTTCTCTTCTCTGAGTGTGCTGAAATGCCAGCATGTCACCAACAGTCTTTGGAGTCTTTTCAAGAATATATAAACAGTTTTGTTGTGAGGAAGGTGCATGGGGCTTCTTGAATTTTCTTGATTTTCTTTTTTTTCCTGGAACCTCTTCCTATTTATGCAATCAAGGCTGTGGGAAGGCTTCCCAGTGGCTGTAGTAAAAAGGAGACTGGGGTTTTAAATCTGGACTGAGAACAGCCTTGTTAGCTTCTGAACATCGCAGCCAAATGAAAAATCACGAAGCCAGGATGAGCAGAAGCTGTAGCCTTGTTTTGCAGTTACACCCAGGGAAAAACTGAAGCGATGGCTGATGAAGTGCCTCCAAAATACTTGCAGTATCAGGCAACTGGTATTTGATCCTCATTGCAGACAAAGCTCAGCACTAAAGCCAGCTGAAAGCAATCCACTTCTCATTGGAAGAATAGTTTCTTCCTTTTAATCAGCCCTGTTTTAAATGATTTCCTTTTTTAGAGCCTTAAATAGTCATTTTATTTCATCCTTCAGGCAGCCAGCATTCACTCACTAAGAACAGCATAGGTCTGCAGACTTTAAAAGGACAAACAATAGTCTGGCAAACGGAAATGCTTCGATGGCATCTTGCTCTCGTGAAGAGCCTGCGGTTCCCATAGGCCACAAAGGAATAAAGAAGAGGAACTTCTTCAGCAGCTACAAGAGCAAGAGCTGCTCACCTGTGAGAGGGGGGGAAAAAACAAGGCAAATCAGACCAGTTCGGGCCCCCAGTCCTTCCTGCAGTAGGAAGGAACTGGAGTCAGTGGGTCTGTCCTGTCTTGGTGGTGAGATTTGGTGGAGAGCTGGGGGCAGACAGAAGGGACCCCTAGACCTGGGGGTGGCCAGACCTTCTCTGGATGCCTCTAGGGAGGGGATCTGGGTGCTGGCACCCCAAGAGGGTGGCCGTCTGCCTTTGTGAGCACAGGAGAGAAGTGGCCAGCCTGGCTGTGTAATGCACAGGAGATGGGAAGTGAGTGCAACCCACCCAGACTGCTGCCCTTCCACACACAGCTGGCCAGGGAAAGGAGGGAGAGCGTGCAGCCAGGGATGCCAGAACCAGATGACACTCTGAGGGAAGGAGGACTTTGGGTAGCTGTGAGGATTGTTTTTCTATGGGTCTGGAAAAGACAAGTCGTGTTTGACCAGAGGATTTCTCTATTGCAGTTATTGATGGGATAGAGCAAGCTGGGAAAGAAAGGTTCTTTTCAGTGAAAACAGTGAAGTTCTGACATCCCTCCTTTGATACACAATGAAAACTTGACATGTAGTGTTTTTCTTTTTATTTCCAGAAACACCAGCAAGAACACATTTTCCCAATGGTTGAAGCAACTCAGGTAGAATATTGAAGACCTTGATTAAAGTCTGTGGTTTACTTTTCTCTTTTATATTTTCCCCTCCACAGGGCGTGTTTTTTTTTCTTTTTTTTTTCTTTTTTTTTTTCCCCCCCTAAACCCATCTGTAAAATAAATCTTTGTGCATATAATGGTTCAACAATCTCGGGGCCTGAGATGAATTCAGTACCCTGGGAACCAGTCAGGTATTCAATGAATGTTGTGGGAGGGAAAAAAAAAAATGAAGAAACACTACCAAGAAACTCTAACAAGTAGGCCTGAGAGCAGGGCTGCTGTAACTGCATGGCAAGACCCTAGGCACTTAATTAGATGCACAGAGGGGACCATGCCACAGCTTAGTGTAAATGAGCACAGTGTTGCAGTCTTTGCTTTCCCTGATCAGATTTAACCCAGTTAGGAGGAAAAGCCAAGATTCCTCAGTTTTCATGCTCTTTTCACATTCCCCACATTTCATACTGTATCTGAGCTTAGAGAGGTGAGAGGCTTCAGCTTCCTCTCATCAGAACCTCTTTTTTCTTAAAAACAATTGTATGGAACCATCTCTACTGATATTAGGTCTAAACTAAGAGGGGGAAAAGGAAGCCTTTTATACTTGAGGCCTAGGGTCCCTTTGTTCTGTGTGAGATCTATCTTCCAAAGCGTGTCCTTATATTTGGATAACACAGCATCATAAACGGGAACCCAGAGACCTGCCAGAGCTGCTCATGTCTTCTCTCCCACCTCACATATTTGACAGCTCAACTCTATTCATCTTCTTCCTGACTGGGTTTGGGTCCTAAGGCCCCATCCACTTAGTCCTGGGCCTGACTTTCCCCGTAGCTGCCTCAGACAAGATAATGAAGTCAGTGCAAGCACGAGGCACTTCTTGATTTAGACACAATAGATTTTCACACTTCAGGGCATAAACCAGCTCCTCCCTTGTGGGATTCGAAAGCACATTCTGCCCTGGACAGGTTACTCCACAACTGTCCGCAACGTTTCTTCTGCAGCAGCTGATGTTGGCTGCTGTCTGAGATGGATGGAAAAAGTAGAAGGACCACGATCTCACCCCATAAGGTAAATGCATGCCTTGTGTGTGTGCTGAACGGCCTCTGGATGGAGTATGGAGCAGGATCACTTTGCTTTTTTTGCAAATGGATTGTGGCATTTTGTGAATGACCATAAGGACAGTAAGGGGCTGTCTTATGCTGCAGGCTGCCATTTACAGCTGAGCAAAGTGATAGCAAAATAGCGTAAGAGCATTTAGCCTTCAGTTTGCTCTGCTGTAAACAACCCTGAAAGATGCAGTCCATGGCTGAGGATTTATAGATGTAGAGCAAATGTTTGAGGAAGCTGCAGAATATAATAGTAATTCAATTATTTCTAGGAAGCCTTAGAGCACAAGACATTTCTGTAGATACAAATTCTATGGTAGGGCTGTAAGCCCTCTGCAGCGGTTATTTTCTATTTGACGGGATTCTTAATTAGTGGAAGGATGAAGCACACAGCAGGGTTCCTGCGTTCACTTGTAATTAATCCTGGGAAGGGGAAGCAGGAGGTTCTGACTCTCATGTCCAGGGGAAAATTGGCTCAGCAGTCTGGCAGAGGTCAAAAATCGGAGTGGGAGAGCAGTCCTTCCAGAATGGATCCTACATAGAGCTGTGCATTAAACTTCATCCAGGTGAAACCCATTCATCAGTCTGTCCAAATCTCCTCTCACTATCCTCACCCTGCTCACTGTAGTCTGTTGTGGGTCTAATCACACCAGGTCTCCTGTTAAACCCATTCTCATTTATACACAGGCAAGTGAAAGGTGATGCTGCAGGATTTTCAGAGTGGCACAGGAATTCATCACTTTATGACAAGGTCTGGTGTCATCCTCATGGACCAGGTTGCAGAGCAGCCATGCTTTTTGCTTCGGTGATAGGAACATCTTTACACTTTTCAGATGGTGACCATCTCTGAACAAAGAAGAGCTCAGCCCCGGTACAGTCCTGAGCCATGAGACTTTACAAAGCTTCGTGGAGATGCCCTCAGTGCACTGTGAGACACAGGTAAAGAAGCTGTCAGTTTGTGGGAGCTGCAGCGTACACACCTGATAATGAATATAGAATTGTCTTTCATTTGTTTACTTTGTCCTTTGATCTCCACAACAGGTTGCATTAGTTTTTTCTTTAATTGGCACATCTATTCCCTTGGCCTTGGATTGTTGCCTTGGAGATGCACAAGGGACCTTCAGAGAAGTGCTTATTACAGCAGCAGGTGTGCATAGCGCTGACCTGGACAAGCCTGTGTGAGTCACCTGCCGATGGTTTGGGTTGTAGGTGGCTGCGTGAGTCATTGAAAGCAAGGGGGATCCCACAGTGCCCGACTCCTGAAGGGCAGCATTAATGCCTTTGGGTGTTTGCTGTTATTGTGCATCAACAACAAATAGCAGAAGATGGCTTACTCCTCTTCTTCCTCCTCATTTGCTGACAAGGGCTGTGAAACAGCATGGTGCTGCAGGGTAGGGCACCTGAATGTGAAAAGCAGCAGCCCAAATCAGAGGCCCTCTCTGGAAATTTGGCTGACCTGTAGCTTTGCTGATGGAGGACAGTGAGGTCTGGACGGGTAGGTAGCAAGTTAGAAGAGCTGTTCTTATTTGTGTGTGTGTGTGTGCATGTGTGCACTTGTCTGGCCAGACAAGAAGACTGATGGAGAAAGAAAACCGAACAGGCCAGACTAATACCCTGGTTCCCCAGAGATTTGGGGTGAGTGGGAGTTTGGTAGTATCAAGGAGGGTGGGCCTCTCCATGCAAGTGCTTGTAAGAGCAGAAGCAGAGGGCATTGGCCTGCTGTCTCCAGAGAGGAAAAAAGTGCTGCATGGAAGATGAGATGGGCAGGAGCAGTGTGATACTTCGTTATCCAGAGAAGGAAGGGATCTGACAGCCAGATGATGGTTTTTAGCAGTGCTTGTGCGTCTCTTGGTAGCTCAGTGCCTGGCAACTTCAATAGCCGTGCAGATCAACTGTAGGAACATCCCATATGGTCCAGAAAGCTGTTCCTACATTTCCTCCCTCTGCACTACTCCTGATGACTGAGATCAGACACATCTCTCCTGAGCACCAAGCCAGGTGCCAGCCCTCACCCTGCTCCTGTAAGCCTGGGGAGAGGTGGGGGCCATTCCCCTGCAGCACCAGGGCTGTGTGCTGCAAAAGCCCTCTAAAGGCACCTTCCCTTCATAGGGAAGGGCACACAGCATGACAGCACAGGACTGGTGACCCATGAATAAGCTGAAGAGGGCGTTTGCAAGAGGCCAGTTCTTTAAATAAGATTGCCCAGGTGCTTGTTATATGCGTGTGTGTATAATGTGTATTTACATGTATGGGAGTGATCTAGTATTCCTTCATGATTTTTGGAGGCTTTTTTGTCACTGTGGTGGCCCCTGCCAAGATGGTTCAAAACAGGCAGAATTTAGAAACTTCAGGGCCACCCTCAAGGCAAAGCAGGGGAATGTATCGTGTAATCTATGCAAAGATCTTGAAAATGTTAAGTAAGCCCAGATTTTAAGGATTTTAGTGACTTTTCTCTAATCAAAACCACCCTAAAAATGGCCTGCTTGTCATTTTCAAAAACCGCTGGACAATTTCTAAAAACAAACAAACAAAAAACAAAACCAACAAATGCATCTATACCTACAGCCTGGCCTTTCACTGCAAAATGTAAGCTGTCACACTGCTGAGCACCCATGTGTGTTACAGGACAGGAAAGGGAAAAATAAAGGGGAAAATATTTTGGCCTTGCATGTGAGGAGACAACTCCCAAGCTATACAAGATGCCCTGGGTGAGGAACCGCACTTTACGGCAACTTCTACAACATTTTTAGTGCAAGCTTCTTGCCAGGAATGCTGCTCACGTTGCGTTGACCTGCGTCTCTGTTCAAGCCTGTGGGGCTTGAGGCTTGCCTCATGAGGCTACTTGTGTTTTATGGCTGTGTAAGGTTAGGTTTTGTTTTGTTTTCAGGATAGAAGTGCTTACTTTGCTCTGCTGCATTCATTTCCATCATCATGAATGAAAGAAATTTAACTGTTTCTGGAGTGAGATCCTTCCAGGGGGCAGTTCCTCCAGGTTGCCCACAGAACCAGGGAGGCATGCCAGGCTGACTTCACTGCTGTCTGTGGAAAGGGAAAGGCTCTGGCTCAACAAAAATCCCCACAACAGCCATTGCCCTGCTGCTCTGCCCAGGTTGTCCTCAACAAGGAGGCAAAAACTTCAGGAAAAGTCTCTTGTAACCCCCTTGAAGGTACCCCTAGGGCGGGTGGTTTGAGCTCAGGACTGCTGTAGGGCAATGTGGGGGCGAACTTGGGGCTTGCGTGTGGCACTTTGTGGGCAGACTGTGTGGGATGGGGTGCGTTGGGTGACTTCGCCGCCCCCAACCCCTCTTAATTACCCCCGTGAGGGGCTCGGTGTGTGGTGAGGCAGCCAGCCCTGCTGGCTCTGAGGGGGGAAAAATCCCCCCTCGGGGAAACAACCTCCTCTCAGAGCTGAGCCGGAGCCCGCTCTGTGTGGACAGGGGGTGGAGAGCGAGACTGGGGCTGGAGGAAATCGTCAGGGCTCAGCTCTGCCCCTTTCTTCCTCCTCCTCCTCCTCCTCCTCCTCCTCCTCCTCCATTTTGGGCCGCCCCTCAGTCGCCTGGCCGGCGGGGCTCTGCAGGCGGCGCTGTGCCCTCCCGGGCGGGATTGACAGGCCGGGCCGAGGGAGGAGGAGGAGGTGGAGAAGAAGGAGGAGGAGGAGGAGGAGGAGGCAGCGGCAGCGAGAACCCGTATCGCCCCGCCGCCGCCGCGCAATCCGCCGCCATCCGCCTCGCCCCGCGCCCATCGCCCCTCGGCACCCGGCTCCTCAGGCGCTCCCGGCTCCCCGCCACCCCCACAGGTGGGTATCGGGGGGCCGGCGGCCGCGGGTATTTAGGGCGGTGAGTGGGGCCGGGGGAGGGAGAGGGAGGAGGAGGAGGGAGGAGGAGGAAGAAGAAGAAGGGGGAGGGAGAGGGAAGGTGGGACGAGGCAGCCCTAAAATGGAGCCGGAGCCAGCGGCTGCGGCACCCCGCGGCCTCCCCGCCGAGGGTGTCCCCCCCCACACACACAAATAGGGGCGCTGGGGGCTCCCCCCTGTTATTTGGGGCTGCTTTGGCCCCGCTGTTTATTGTGTGCGGCCCCCCTCGGGGTGCTGGGGGCGTCTGGGGCCGATGCGGGGCCTGGCCGCCGCCCCCCCCCCCCCCCCCCCGTTCCCCCATTCCCCAAGCGAGGGCCGCGCTGTGAGGCCTGGGGAGAGATTTGGGGTGGATTTAGGGGTTTTTGGGACTCCCCCCTCGGCCGGGCCCCCCCCCTTTCACCCTCACACACACCCCCCTAGGGGGCTGGGGGCGGCCTCGCAGCCCGCCGCGCAGGCAGCTTGTTTTTTCCTCCTCGCCTGGAGGGTGACACAAAGATATTTTTGTCGCGCCGTGCAGCAAAAACAAGGGGGATGGATGGCACGGCGAAGGCTGCCCGGGTTTGTTGGCGTGAGGGGAGCCCCACGACAGGCTTCCTGAGGCCGAGAGATGAAAAATACAGGCTGCGAGGCCGGGTGTTCCCCCCCCCACCACCACCATGAGGGGGGGAAAAAGAGGGGGCTCACCCTGCAGCTGGGGGAAAGGAGGATGCGATCGGGGTGTTTTGGGGCTCAGCGAGCTCGATAGATAGGTTTGGAAAGGTGTTGGTGCTTAGAGAAGGAGTTTCCCAGCTCGGGGGGGTGGGAGGGTGTCTGCTGCACCCCCAACAGGGGTCCTGGGGTGCAGGTGCTGGGCTCAGGGTTTGCTCAGGGTGCTGGTTAGCAGCTAGCGGGGTTTTGTTGTTTTTTTCTTGTTAAGGTGACTACAGACAACCCCCTCGGCTGGGAAATCAGAGCTGACCAGGTTTGAATGAGCTGGGAGTTCGGGGTTTTGTTAGGAAAGTTGTTTTGGTTTGTTCTGGTGGCTTTTTCGCTGTTGTTTTTTTGTCTTCCAAACATCAGGAAGGTGGGATACTCTTGAGTATCAGCTCATCAAATATTTGTGTATTAGCGTTACTGGTGTTTGGGGCGATAACGTATGATAAACAAGTGTGTTTGGTCCTTAAGTCGTTCTGTTTCTAGGAATAGGTATTAAATGTAAGCAGGTAGCAGTGGCTTCATCATCTGCTGTACCTGGCTGGGAGGGAAGGCATCCCTCCCATTTCAGGATTGAATCAAACTTTATAGGGAAAGGATTTTATTTTATTTATTTTTTGCTTTGGACCTTGTTTTTCTTGGTTGGAATACCTATCTGCATGTCTCAGTTTAAACGAAATACTGTAAGTGGGCCTCGGTTCCGTCAGGCTCCTGCAGATTTTTATGGGTACATGGGTGATGCTACTTCTTTCAGAACCGTAGTCCAAGAGGTTCTTCCAGTTAGCAAAACGTATTTGGGGGGAACGATAAAGAAGACCTCTTCCACGTGACCTCTTTGAAATTCTCTAGTACTTTCTTTTTATAGTTAAAAAGTTCAGATTAAAAATCATACTCAGACAAAATCACAAATGCTGCTTGAGATTAGTGTTCTTTTTCTTAATTACATGTTTCCTCCAGCCAGTCCTAGTATGCGTGCTGGTAGCTGTATTTTGGTTTGGTGCTTAATTCGATAGCCACGTTGAGCATAAGGTGATGCCTCTTTTATTCCTAGTCGCTTTCACTGGTCTGGTGTTCTGCATGTCTTGAGTAGATGTCACACGTCTTAGGACATCTTCAGCCGTGTTCACTGATAAGAAAACATGTCTACGTGACTTGGACAGACATCTTTTCTCCTAAAAATTAGTAAAACACATAGGCATTTCTACAGGTTTCCGAAGTTGTTATTATATGGTGCCTGTCACTTTGCATGGAATTTTTATTTATTTTTAGTCTATAAGAGCTATTTTTTACGGAAGGAGCCAACTTTTTTTTTCAAATTCAGAGACATTTTTCTTTGGTCCTACAGTATGTGTTTTGATAAACTGTGGGCTTTTTTTTCTATTTTTGTGTGTGCATGAGAGCTAAAAAATGAAACTCAGCCAACCTGGATGAAGAAGGGAAAGTAAGTAAGTGTTGGAAAGGAGAGGCAGGATTTAAAAGTATTTTAGTTTTAATAAATATGAGTAATGTTCCTAAAGAATTATTATTAAAACGATTTAACTTTTATAGTGACATTTTAATAAAGCCTTTTATTAAAGCTTTCTGTAAAACCTAACTTCAAAGGCTAATTTGTGTGAACAACCTCCTCCTAAGAGTCGGGGTGGCATTAGAGGCTCTATTTTTCTCGTGCCTGACGCAACGCGCCCTGGTCCCTGGCTGAGGGATGGTGTAAAGACAAATCCTCGCTCTTCGGGTGTCTGGTGCCGATGCTTTTGCATAGCTCCTGACGCCTGTACCGTGTCCTGCAGGCTTTCCCATATGAGGTGCAGCTGGCAAATCCCAGGACCATGTTTTTGGCGCGTCTCGTAGCGCCTGCAGTGTGCCTGAGCTGCACAATGCAGTGCCTGTTAGATTATCCCTTACAGAGCTACCTGTTTAAGGTCCAGCAGTGTGAGTTGCTCAAGGCCCTCATTGTGCTCACCTGAGTAATGGGAGGTGTTTAAAGGCGAGCTGGGCTAACTTTAAGTGCTGCTGCACCGAAAATAATAGCACGCATTTTCAGTTTCTGTTTTATGATGATACTTGCCGTGTACAAAGAGACCTGGCTGTGGCAGGGCTTTTTCCACTTGTAATTGCATGTTTTCTTGTTGTAGATACAGAAGCAGCAAGGGCAGCAGAAACTTGCTGAATGCAGGATGGTAACTTCAGGGTGAGGAGGGAGAGGCTTTATTGCAAGGACTGGATGTCTGTGGTCATCCTTCTCTTTACTAGATTCCTCCTTTTTTTCTGCGACTTGGCGATGAGCATGGTGGTGGCTCAGTATCCGGCCTCGCTCTTCAACTAATCATGCCTTATAAGTGGGCTTTGTTTTTTGTGTGGCACTGACTCATTCTCCTAATAGGTCGATAATTTCACAGCTCCTTATCGCTAGTTTGTCATTTGGAACAGAAGAAATGCAGAAGTCAGACGGTGTCATCAGGCAGTGAGGTGAAAGCACTGTGAGCAGGTAAAGGCCGGGGACGTGCAGCTTTTTCCGTCCACTGAACAGCTGTTTCTAACTGCTGAAACGAAGTGATTTGGGTATGGTGTGCTCCTGGAAAGCCCCTGCTGAAGGTGGTTTTGCAGATCTATGCGGAAACCATCTGATTTGATTGAAATGGTCTTTCCCCCAGGAGGAAAACTGGGGCTGAAGCAGATTGTATTTTACATTAAGCCTTGCTGAAATGTACCTTGGGCTTCTCTTCAGTTAGCAACTTGTGCTTGTATTCAGGATGTTCTGGGAGCATGTGCTTCCTGTGCAGAGGCAACTGAGAAGTAGGAGCCCATGAGCAAACTTGTTCAGAAGTGTATAGCCACAAATTCTTTTATTTTTCTTTTTTTTTTCCCCTCTGGAATCCCTGGTACAGTAACACAAGCGGTCTAGAAGCTGGTCTGGTGGCACTGGTTTGTTCCGTGTTTACCTGTGGCATTGGTTTGTTCTGAAGCTGCTTGACTTGCAGTGCTGTGGGGTCTGCAAGGACAGACGGAGGTTTTGAGGTGGGAAAAGGTGTGTGTGTCATTCTGCAGGGCGCCAGTCTGCTTTTTCAGTGTCTGGTTCTGAACATCTGAATGTTCAGGAAAGTGCTGGTAAGCTAGAAGGGGCAGGAGCTCACTGTTACCTCTGGATAGAGTCACAGAATTGTCTAGGTTGGAAAACACCTTCAAGATCATCGAGTCCAACCATCTTAAGAGACTGCAGGCATGAAGTTGTGGAGGACTGGTGAAAACAGCCGTGCTTTGGGTGCAGGGGAAGAGGTAATGGTGTGATCTGAAACATGTAAAAGTGGAAGAGGAGGAAAGGTGGGCCAGGCTTAAGTACAAAGACAAAAAAAAAAAAAAAGACCAAGAAAGTGAGGACTTGCTGGTGGCAGGTAGCATCTGGCCAAGAGGACTCCTCTGTTGCAGTGCTGTGCTTGGAATATACAAGGGGCTTGAATTAGCAGCTGGGAGCATCCTCAATAGCCTTTGAATTCTAGATGAGTGGCACTTAAGAGGAGTAAACTATGCAGTATTTCCAGAGTTAGTGCCCTGCTGGAAGAGGTTTGACAGAGGAATCCTTCCTGGGTAGCCCTTGAGACATTTTGGGCACCACGTTTGGCTGTGATTGGCGCTGCAAGGAGCGCGTAGAGGCAGGTTTGAAGAGCTTGCATTGGGACTTTGCCTCCCACAGGCACTTCTTGTGTGGGAATGTAGTGATTTTTTTTTGGAAGTGTTCTGCAGTGGGGTAGGTTCTTCAGCTGTTCCTACCTGTATGTGGGCTGGGAGCCCGTACAAAAGCCTTGAGTGCTCTTGTTCAGAGTTTAGAGTGGGTTGTGAAGCAGGCAGGGGAGTAGGGACATGCTTGAGAATGTTTCTTCACGGCTGGAATAGTGCAAAGTATGGTTTTATCTTTTTTCTTAAATAACCGAAGCATCAAGCTCCCACCTAGCAACTGAAACTTCACGGCCCGTCATTTAGGAGTGGTTTCACAGGATTTGAGCATTCCTACAGCATTAGCATTCCGCATCTGAGCAGAATGTTGCTTTACTGACGGCTGTGATCCTGCTGTAGGACAAGCAGTGCGTGGGGTCGCTCATCTAGGAGGTGGCAGCAGCTTTCCCTGCCCCAGCATCGCAGACCTGCTCCTGCACACCTCCCCTGGACCAGGACTTGGCGCTGCTCTGGGCCACGCAGCGTTAGGAAGGTGAGGTGATGGAGAGGGTGGTTCCTCCAGCCCCACAAAGCTGGAGGAG